AGCATGCCTATTATTAACATATTGGCTGTTTATTAGTACTTATAATGCACATAATCTGCATGACCATATTCTACATCCCTAATTTTACCCAATACCTAAACTTAACAACTATCTTACTAACTACTAATGAGCAGCAAATTAGGAGTTTGAGTCGTAGTTAATGGTTTGTTAACAGCAAGAATTGGACCTGTTTTTAGTATTATAGTACATGTAGTTAAACTACATAGCCTTGAACTAGCTGAAATTTTAGATTTCTTATATTTTCTTTAATTTTTTTCAGTTAACATTTATTTCAAGTAAACAATGTTTTTTATGGTTTTAGTTTGTTTTACTTTTCTATAATAACCCTGTGAGGAAGTACATTTAAAAAAATTAATATTTAATTTATAGTTTCAGCTTTATTTTATTGCTTGTTTAAGTTAAGTCATCTTGAGCCCCCCTAGTAGCACTGTTGTAGTCACTTATCATAATCTTGTACTATAAATTGATTGAATAGTTTTTTGCATACTAGCTTTTGCATTTTGTATGTGTATGAACTTGCAGGACATGTTGAGTGGCAGCAGTCCCTTCTCCCAGAATCCTCCTCATCTCTCTGGAGAGTGGACAGCAGTCTGGCCTCTTCACTCTGTAGCCGTTGGCACTGTAGCAGAGAGCTTTCTTGCAGGTAAACATGCTGGAAGGTAGAAACAAACGTGTGGGGACAAATAGGCTACCCGTTTTGAATGCTGTTTAAACATATGTACATTCACTCATCTTTTTTGTCTTGTGTGTGTGTTTTATTCAGGTGGCCCAGACTTCCTGCAAACCAATCTTCACCCCTGGACTTTGGGGCCACACCTGTCAATGAGAGTAAGGTATGCAAATCACTAATAAAAGAACAAAAGGAGCATCTTTAGTAAGAATATTCAAAGGGCAATCAAACATGCCACCTTTTGATGCATCACATGGAATTTTCAGCATTGTTTGAACTATTAATGTAAATCACTAATCCAGGTGAAGAATTTCACTCTGAAAAACCCGACGGGTTCAGTGGTGTCTGTGGAGATCCGAACCCTCTCCTCATATCCAGTTCCGCTTGAAGCCCTCGACATGCTGACCAAATGGTACCTACTGCAAACACACACTCATATGGCCTAAATTCTGTTCTGCCAAAAACCTTAATTACAAAATAAATTATAAACAATATTAAATTGAATATCTAGTACAGTATAAACATCTCTC